GGGGGGGGGGGGGAGGAGATGGTGCAGGTACCTGTTAAGTTCTGGTGGGCACAAAAATGGGGGTCGCTGTGCTCTGGGGTGAGGACCCCCATACCCTGTCTCCTGGCTGTCTGGGGACTTCTCTCTGAAGTGGGGGGGTCCCAGTGTCCCTTCCCCCACCCTTTTACCCACCAGCACCTAAGTAAGGTGACCCTATGGTGGGTTCTTACCAAATGCCCCTTCTCCTTCCTGGAAAAACAGAAGCCCTCCCCCCCCCAGCCCTCAGCCAGGCCACCCCCCCTCCCTCTCCTTCCCAGCTCCAGGGAAGGGGGCGTGGCCCCACACATGGCCTGTATAAAGGTGGCTTTGCCCTCCTCCATCTGAAGGTGACAATTCCTCAGGACCTTCCCTGGCCATCCTTGGGGGGACGTCCCTGGCCCCAGAGACCTGTGTCCACAGCTCAGCAGCTCCTCACAGACCCAGGTGAGTGCTGGGGGCTTCCTAGTGCTCCTCCCCTTCCAGTCTCTGGAATTGTGGGGTGCCTCTGGGTTTCCTTAGGGTAGCCACTCATTGGTCTAGCAACTCTTAAAAGAAGAAAGAAGGAAAAAAAAAAAGAGAAAAAGCCTGGGAGCATCTTGAATGACTAACCAGCACAGGGGGGAAACTGAGGCCAGAGGAAGAGCAGAATTTGCCCGATATTGCTCATAGCTCTACATATAGAAGTCCCAAAGCCACTCTTTTGGGGCCCAGGCTCCACCTCCAACCCCCAGACACTTGGGGTTCCCTCTCAGAGCCACCTGTGAGGCTGGGAAGGGGGCACAGCATCTCCCTCTGGCTGATGGGTGGGAGGCTAACTCTGGGTGTATTAGCTGTATTCTTTTCTATCTAAAAGCTGCTCCTGAGCCAGGCACTGGTGGCTCACACCTGACATCCTAGCTACTCAGGAGGCTGAGGTCTGAAGATTGAGATTTGAAGGCAGTGTGGGACAGGAAAAATCCACGAGACTCTTTTTTTCTTTTTACTTTTTCTTCCAGTTGTGGGGCTTGAACTCAGGGCCTGAGTGCTATCCCTGAGACTCTTTGTGCTCAAGGCTAGCATTCTACCACTTGAGCCATAGTACCATTTCTGTTTTTTTGAGTGGCTCATTGGAGAGTCTCGGGGGGACTTTTCTGCCTGGGCTGGCTTCTGCCTGAGATCCTCAGATCTCAGCCTCCTGAGTAGCTAGGATGACAGGTGTGAGCCACCGGTACCTGGCCATGAGACTCTTCTCTCCAATTAGTCAACAAAAAGATGAACATGGAGCTATGGCTCAAGTGGTAAAGTGGCTAGCCTTGAGTAAAAAAGCTAAAGGAGAGTGTGCTCAGACCCTGAGTTCAAGCCCCAGTACTGGCACACACAAAAAAATCAAATCAAAACTGTTTCTTATGACCTGCCTTCCCAAAGGGTAGCTTGTCGGAGTTTCAAGGTCCTGGCTGGAATAAAAGGAGCTTATCGGAGGCTAGCAGTGTGGTTCAGTTGGTAGGGCACCAACCAATGAGTGAACGCATCATGTATGGAGTTCAGGTTCTGGAGACACACACACACACGCACACGCACGCGCCCACGTGTGTGCGCGCGCTAATGTGGGCAGGAGCTTCAACACTCCCCAGACTTTTCTTTTCTTTTTCTTGATTGTGAGGCTTGAACTCAGAGCCTGGGCGCTGACCCAAAGTTCTTTGTGCTCAAGGTTTGCCCTCTACCACTTCCGGTTTTTGAGTGGTTCATTGGAGATAAGAATCTCTCGGGGACATTTTTTGTCAGGATTGGCTTGGAACCATGATCCTCAGATCTCAGCCTCTTGAGTAGCTAGGATGACAGGTGTGAGCTACCTGCACCCAGCACCCCCAGAGACGTTTCTACCGCAGACTTCTTCATCACTGGGATAAGTTGGTATGACAGATTGCTAGCTGCACAGAGCTAGAAGCACTGACAACTGGAAATTCTCCAAGCACCTTTCCCTGGACCTCCTACCATCTTACACAGACTAGTGCCCCTGCAGGGAGTGGCACCCATTGTGTGGAAAGGGACTCTGAGGCTGACCCAGGATACTACTGGATCTAGTATGCTTTGGGATTCAGCTCTTCCAAGAAGCTTTCTTCCTTTTTCATTTTCCTGCCAGGTCTGGGGCTTGAATTCAGTGCCTGGGCACTGTTCCTGAGCTTCTTTTGCTCAAGGCTAGCACGCTACCACTTGAGCCACAGCACCACTTCTGGCCTTTTCTGTGTATGTGGTACTGAGGGATTGAACCGTGGGTTTCATGCATGCTAGGCAAGCACTCTAAGCCACCGTGAACCATATATCTTGTCTTGTGTGGTTCTTCTGAGAGAAGTACTGGGTGACTGTGCCCCACTCCTTCTTAGATTATGTCACTGGAGCCCAGAAGTCTAAAATAAGCAATCCAAGGCCACTTGGACCAGAAACAGGTTCTCTTGATTTCTAGTGCATTCAGGAGATGCTCCTGACAAAGCTCATGATAATCTGATTATTTGATTTTTTTGACCAACCCTAGAAAGTCTTTGCTCAGCGGCTGTTCAATTCAGATCCATTCCTAATTTCCCTGATTCCAGACTGGAGTTTTTTTTTTTACAATCCTGACGTGGTGTGTGTGTGTGTGTGTGTGTGTGTGTGTGTGTGTGTGTGTGTGAAATCTTTCATTTATTCTCTGCTCTCTGCAGTGAAAGGGAAAGGAGGCCCTAGCTATTCATTCATTAAGAATTAAGCTCAGGTCTGTGAAAGTGATTAGTGGTAGAGCGCTTGCCTAGCATGCACGAAGCCCTGGGTTCGATTCCTCAGCACCACATACACAGAAAAAGCCAGAAGTGGTGCTGTAGGCTCAAGTGGTAGACTGCTAGCCTTGAGCAAAAAGAAGCTCAGGGACAGTGCCCCTGGACTGACAAAAACAAAAATTGAGCTCAATGAAAAGCCTGATCTGGGTTCTTTTCCTTTTTGGGGGGTGGGGTGGGGTGGGGAGGAAGTTCTGGGACCTGAACTCAGGCCCTGGGCACTGTCCTTGAGCTTCCTTTGCTCAAGGCTAGCGCTCTATCACGAACTGCAGCTCCACTTCCAGCTTTTTTGGGAGGTAGTTAATGGGAGCTAAGCGTCCCATGGGCTTTCCTGTCTAGGTTGGCTTCAAACTGTGATCCTCAGATCTCAGCCTCCTGAGTAGCTAGTAGGGATTACAGGTGTGAGCTACTGGTACAGGGCTGGAAATTTTGAGTAGCAGGCTGACACTTTAGGAGATGGCTCCCCCCTCACTCCCTGCCCACCCCGACCCCCCCACCCTCTCCTACTCCCCCCTCCACCGCCCCTGCCAGTCTATCTCATTTATTGACTTTTTCTTCTTGCTATTTCTCAGCAGCTGGTATCAGCGATCTCCACACTGACCATGCTTTCTGTGTGTGGCTCCCTGGTCCCCATCTCAGCCTCTGGGCTGTTTCTAGTGGCCACTACCTTCTGCCTCGTCTTCTGGCTGGTCAAGATATCAAAATCCCAGGTCCCTAAAGGCCTGAAGAGTCCACCAGGGCCCTGGGGGTGGCCCCTGATCGGCCATGTGCTGACCCTGGGGAAGAACCCCCACCTGGCGCTGACCAGGCTGAGCCAGCAGTACGGGGACATCCTGCAGATCCGCCTCGGGTCCACCCCCGTGGTGGTGCTGAGCGGCCTGGACACCATCCGCCAGGCCCTGGTGAAGCAAGGTGATGATTTCAAGGGCCGGCCAGATTTCCACAGCTTTGCATTCATCAATAATGGTCAAAGCATGACCTTCAACTCAGACTCTGGCCCCACGTGGGCTGCCCGCCGGCGCCTGGCTCAGAATGCCCTGAAGAATTTCTCCGTGGCCACTGACCCCACCTCCGCCTCTTCCTGTTATCTGGAAGAACATGTGAGCAAAGAGGCCGAGTACCTCATCCACAAGTTCCAGGAGCTCATGGCGGAAGTTGGGCACTTCGATGCCTATAGATATGTGGTAATGTCCGTGGCCAATGTCATCTGTGCCATGTGCTTTGGCCGGCGCTACGATCACGATGATGAGCTGCTGCTGAGTCTGGTGAACCTGAATAATGAATTTGGAGAGGTGTTAGCCTCAGGACACCCCGTGGACTTCATCCCCATCCTCCGCTACCTGCCCAGCCGCGCCCTCAGGGACTTCAAGGAGCTGAATAAGAAGTTCTACGTCTTCATGCAAACCCTGGTCCAGGAACACTATAGAACATTCCAGAAGGTAGAGACTGGCAGCATGCAGGAGAGCCAGATTCCCAGAAACAAGCTTGAAATCAGTAGTGGAGGGAGAGCCTCATATTTTGTTTTGGTCAGTCGTGGGACTTGAACTCAGGGCTGGGGCGCTGTCCCTGAGCTCTTTTTGTTCAAGGTTGGTGCTCTACCACTTGAGCCACAATGCCACTCCCCATTTTCTAGTGGTTCATTGGTGATCAGAGTCTTGTGGGGACTTTTCCTCCCTGGGCTGGCTTTGAACTGTGATCTTTAGCTCTCAGCCCCCTGAGTAGCTGGGATGACAGGCCCCCACAGGTGCTCACTTCTTAAACAAATAGTGCGGGGCCAGGCTTGGGCAGGGGAGGAGAGGTGGGTGCGTGGCTCAGCGCTATGTCCCTCGCCCTACTTTTTGCAGGGCCATATCCGGGACATCACAGACAGTCTCATCGAGCACTGTCAGGATAAGAAGCTGGATGAGAATGCCAATATTCAACTGTCAGACGAGAAAATAATCGCCATTGTGGTGGACCTCTTTGGAGCAGGTTTGTGCTTGCTCCCGGTGCCCCTCCGGCGCCCCAACCTTCTGCCCTTTGGCACCTGTGCGACTTCTCCTTTATTATTTATTTACTTTTCTTCTGGCCTAGGATTTGACACTATCACAACTGCCATCTCCTGGTGCCTCATGTACTTGGTGAAGAACCCAGGGATCCAGAGAAAGATCCAGAAGGAGCTGGGTAGGTGGTGGCCGTATTCAGTGCCCTAGGCAGGGGTCTTCGGGAAGTCAGGACAGCCCTGTTGAGTCCATTTGGGGCTTTGTGATTTGCAGACGCAGTGGTCGGCAGGGAGCGGCGGCCCCGGCTCTCTGACCGACCCCAGCTGCCCTACCTGGAGGCCTTCATCCTGGAGACGTTCAGACACAGCTCCTTCGTCCCCTTCACCATCCCCCACAGGTGAGACCTCCTGTAGTCTCAGCATGAGTGGGTGGGTGGCACCTCACTCTAACCCACACATACCACCAGGGCTGGCAGAAGGAAGCAAGGAGATTCCTCTGTGACCAGCAGCCTGACTGAGCTCCCTTTCTTCTTAGCACCACAAAACACACAAGTCTGAATGGCTTTTATATCCCCAAGGGGCGATGCATCTTTGTGAACCAATGGCAGATCAACCACGACCAGTAAGTTGAAAGGGGTAATGGAAACTTCTGGAGCTGGGCCTACCTTCCTTGGGTTTCAGAACTTTCTGTCCTCGAGGGAAAGGGAGATTAACCTATTTTTTTTTTCTTTTTCTTGGTGCTGGTCCTGAGACTTGAACTCAGAGCCTGGGTGCTGTCCCTAAGATTTTCTGCTCAAGGCTAATATGTTACTACTTGAGCTATAGTTCTACTTCATGTACTTTCTGCCCAGGCTGGCTGGGTTTGAACTCAGATCTCAGCCTCCTGAGTTGCTAAGATGATAGACATGAGCCACTAGTACCTGGCATGAATTTTTTTTTGCCAGTCCTGGAGCTTGAACTCAGGGTCTGAGCACTGTCCTTGTGTTTCTTTTGCTCAAGGCTAGCACTCTCCCACTTGAGCCACAGCGCAATTTCCAGCTTTTTCTGCTTATGTGGTACTGAAGAATTGAACCCAGGGCTTCATGCATGCTAGGCAAGCACTCTACCACTAAGCCACCTTCCCAGCCCGTATAAATTAAAAAAAAAATTCTTTTAGTAGGTTGTAGGGCTTGAACCCAGGGTCTGGGCACTGTCCTTAAGATATTTTGCTCAATGCTAGCACTCTGTCACTTGAATCACAACTCTCCACTTCCAGCATTGTTTGCTGGTTAATGGAGATAAGGGTTTCATAAACTCTTCTCCCTGGACTGGCTTTGAACCTTGATCGTCAGATCTCAGGCTCCTGAGTAGCTGGGATGACAGGCGTGAGCCGCCAGCATCTAGTTGGTTTACTCGATCCTCTTGAACTCCCAATGCTGTAATTATTCACCTGCCTCCTCCCTCTGGTTACAGGAAGCTGTGGGGTGACCCATCTGAGTTCAGGCCTGAGCGGTTCCTTTCCCCTGATGGCACTGTGGACAAGGTCCTGAGTGACAAGGTCATCCTCTTTGGCCTGGGCAAACGGAAATGTCTTGGGGAGGTCATCGGCCGCTGGGAGGTCTTCCTCTTTCTAGCCATTCTGGTCCAGCAGGTGGAATTCAGCGTGTCACCTGGGAAGAAGGTAGACATGACCCCCATCTATGGGCTGACCATGAAACATCGTCGCTGCGAGCATTTCCAAATACAGCTGCGCTCTTTTGGGTCCGGGAGCCCTGATGCCTAGACTCTTGTCCACCTGGCCAGTCTGGGCAGCCCAAGAGACTGGTTCAGACTGGTTTAACTTCAGCCTGAAACTGACACACACGGAGAGCCTAGATCTGGCTTTTCTTCTGACTAAACCCTCTGCAAGCTGAGCACAGATAGTAAACAGAGCGGAGACATTCCTCCCTGCTCCCTGAAATGGACAGAAACTTCTGGAGTAGTGCATGAGCTGGCAGGCCCCGAAGGAGGAGACAGCCCAGGATACTGGCACTGAGGAGGCCTTACCATGTCACTTCTAGAAGGCTGAGTCCCTGACCACACGGGTCTGAGATGCTATGTTTGGGTATGGGGGACCACCTCTATCTGCCCTAATTCCAGACAGACCCAACAGGGCTATGTCCTGACTTTTGTAAGGCCCCTGGTTCTTGCTCAGGAAGAGGTAAGGACAGAGGCACTAGGTCCAAGGCTGGAATGAAGTGATCTATATAAAATGTCTTCATTTTATTTTGTGCACCTGTCTTGGGCCTTGAACACTGGGCCTGGGTGTTCCCCCTTAACTTTTCCACTCAAGGATGGCATTTTTTAAAACAAATTTTGTCAGTCATGGGGGCTTGAACTCAGGGCCTGTGTGCTGTCTCTTCTGGGTGCTTTTTCACTCAAGACTAGTGCTCTATCACTTTGTGCCACAGTACCACTTCCAGTTTTCTGGTGGTTCATTGGAGATAAGAGTCTGGTGGGCTTTCTTGCCTGGGCTGGCTTTGAATTGTGATTCTCAGATCTCAGCCTCTTAAGTAGCTAGGATTATAGGTGTGAGCCATTGGCATCCAGCTAAAATGTCTATACTTAAAAAAAAAATGTTTGTACACAGGGCTGGTTTTTAGAATTCTGACCTGTAGTGTGTTTGCATGCTTTCATATATCCTGCCTAAGTGCTTTGAAATCACTTCCTTAGTGCAATAGTGAACTCTAACCCAATCATGAAGGCATTTGCAGGAAAGGTCAGGGACAGCATCTAGGTTCTGAGTTCAAGCCCCAGGACTGGCACACACACACACACACAGAAAAGAAAAAGAAAACAGAAATGTGCAGGAAACTTTCATATAAGTTAAATAAAAACATTATCTGGAAACTGCAAAAACTGGAGTTTTTGAATCTTAAATGAACTCATTGCGCATCTATGTGTGTACCTCGGGGCAGAAGGGGGGGTGGTCCAGTCTTGGGCGGGGCTTCCTGGTGGGGAGAAGGAAGAGAACTGTCAATCAAGAGGTGAGGTCCTTGCTGTCTGGCAGTGAGTCTGGAGGACAGGTAATGTCACTTCACTGCTGCCCTTCCTCCCACACTGCTGTCTGCAGAGAGGAAGGGAATCACAGCCTCGGATCTGAACATACATCGTCTGATTCGCTGTGATCACAGATCTTCCTCCATTCACTTTCTGAGCAAGGATCAGGTTAGGGCTGAGGACATGCATCCATTTTATTCCAGGTTTCACAGATGCCAGCATGGGGCTGATTGAGGTAGCATCCCCTGAACCAGAATGAACCTCTTTTTCTTTAGTTGAACTGCGAGTCTGATTCCACCAGTGTCTGCTGCGCAGTAGCTCTTAGGGTTCAGGATAGACTAAACTAGCCTTGAGTTCAAACCCCAGTAGTGGCACCAACCACCAACAAGCAAACAAGTACTTTAACTATGAAGGCATATAAAGATGCAAAGGAAAATGCCTGGCGGGTGGCTCTCAGGACCTGGGGCTGTCCCTGAGCTCTTTTAGCTCAAGGCTTAGTGCTCTACCACTTGAACCACAAGCTCCACTGCTGGCTTTTTGCTGGTTCCTTGGAACTAAGCATCTCAGGGACTTTCCTGCCCGAGTTGGCTTTGAACTGCGATCCTCAGACCTCAGCCTCCCGAGTAGCTGGGATGACAGGCGTGAGTCACGTCTTCAGGCTCAGAAAGCAGCTTTGCACCTAATTTGCAGGACAGGATGCCAAATGGGATGTGACCTACTGCGCAGACTCCGTGGAGCAAGCTCAGGACCTAGCGACCCCCGCGATCTTGGTGGGCTTCCGGCGCTCCGCCCTCGCCGCCTGCTTCCCGCCGCTCAAATTTCCCGCGTGCCCCGCCCACCCCCGCCCCATCTCGCGCCCCGCCCCCGGGAAAGCTCCGCCCCCACAACGCGCCCCGCCCCGTCACAGCCCCGCCCACAAACAGCGTGTCCCCGCCCACTCCTCCGCCCCGATCTCCTTTGAGCCTCGCCCCCTCCCACGTAGCCACGCCCCCTCCTGCCTCCGCTCACGCGCCCCGCCCCTCGAATCGCAGCGGAAGTGACCTCAGACGGCGAGCGCGCCGGCGTGGGGCGCGGGGGCGTTTCCGGCGGCGT